TGTGTTCCAGGACACAGGTTCACAAGCCTTCTTTCTAAAGGGCCAGGAACTGAATATTTCAGAATTTTCAAGCTAAGAGGCGAAACTGAGCATGTGAATTTGCTACACAGAACCATTTAAAACACAGACAAAATTTTAAAATGTCCAAGCATTCTTAGCTTGCATGGTGTACAGAATAGGCAGCAGATTGGATGTGGCCCTCAGGCCATTGTTTGCTGACCTCCCTTTTAGGACATGAAGAGTCAAAAGGAACCATTTTCCAATCTCAAAGTCTGTCCAGATCCTTGCAGTAGAAGATGCCTTCTGGGGTGGACATCTGTTGTTGTTGTTGACCTGCGTCCATTCCCCATTTTTCAGTGAGAGCCAGATTTTCCCATGATGCATCAGCCACTGGCTGGCAGTCTCATTCCACACCTTCTTCAGGGGCCTCCACACCTGTTCCACCTGACTCCACACTTGCCTCAGGTGATTCCACACCTGCCTCACCTGTCTCCACGTCTGCCTCATCTGACTTCCCATCTCCCTGGCTGATGTCACACCTGCCCCAGGTAACACCACACCTGACTCCACATTGCCCCAAGTGACTCCAGACTGCCCTGCCTGACTCCAAACCTTCCCCAGGTGATTCCACACCTGCCCAGCCTGACTCCACATCAGCTTCACCTGATGCCACACTTGTCCCTGTCTCCATTCTCACCCCAGGTGACTCCATACCTGCCCTGCCTGACTCCACACCTGCCCCAATGACGCCACATCTGCCCAGGTGACATGCTCCCCAGGCCCGGTCAATTAGAGTAACCCATTCTTCTGACTTCTGTGAGCGACTTCAGGCAGGTCACGTGACCCAGGCCTGACCAATCATTTCCCAGTTAGAGCCAGTTCCCAGGAATGTGCCTGAGTAATTGGCAATGAGGTTTTTACTCCTTTCCTGCTGGATATGATGCTGTGACATTCACTTCGTTGCCAGGGCCACCCTGTGACTCCAACAAAGAGCAATGCACAGCTGACACAGGAGGAAACGCCACCCTCCTGGAGATATTGTGTGCACCCTGGGTCCTCAGCACCCCAAGTGTGGCATGCAGACTAGTGGCACTGGCATTCAGAAGCTTCTGAAAATACTCAACCCAGACCTTCTAAATGGGGATATGCAGATAATCAAAATTTCATGTGAGCTGCATGCACATTCAAGTTTTAGAAGCATTTTTCTGGATTTTTTTGAAGTTCCATGAGCCAAGTTTAAGTTGAGTTAGGTTAGTAGCCTTAATAATTAAAATAATTCTGATTTATCAATTTCCCATAGTCCATAATATAATTCAGGCAAGCAGCATGTAGTATTAATGGTACTATTAGAGCTACTAATAGTAATATAAGAGTAACCAGGCTGGGTCTAGTGGCCACACCTGTAATCCCAGCACTTTGGGAGGCTGAGGCAGGAGCATGACTTTAGGTCAGGAGTTCAAGACCACCCTGGACAACATAGTAAGACTCTATCTCTACAAATATAAAAAAAATAACCCGGTATGTTGGCACGCATCTGTAGTCCCAGCTACTTGAGAAGCTGGGGGTGTGGGGAGGACTGCCTGAACCCAGGCATTGGAGGCTGCAGTGAGCAGCTATGATCACACCACTACACTCCATCCTGGATGACAGAGTGAGACCCCAACCCTTAAAAGAAAAAGAGTATCCATACTGTAAGTAGGGTGGAGGCATGTGCTCATCATGTCCAATGTGGTTCATCCACTTTTTTTTTTTTGAGTTGGAGTCTCACTCTGTCACCCAGACTGGAGTGCAGCAGCAGCTCCCGGCCACCGTAGCCTCGACCTGCTGGGCTCCGGCGATCCTTTCGCCTCAGCCTTCCAAGTAGCTGGAACTACAGGCATGTGCTACCACGCCTGGCTGATTTTTTGATTTATTGTAGAGATGAGGTCTTGCCAAGTTGCCCAGGCGAGTCTCAAACCCGCGGGCTCAGGTAGTCCACTCACCTCGGCCTCCCAAGGCGCGGGATTATAGGCTGAGCCACCGAGCCCAGCTGGTTCATCCACTTTGTACGTTTCAGGTTGACTTGCAGCCCATGGAGGGCCTCTGAGGACCCAAAGTCAAATGCTCCAACCTCCAAGGAAGGAGGGGTGAAGGGGCATCTGCCTCAGGTGCGGAGTAGGGGAAGGAGCTGAGACTGCAGAAGGAGGGCAGAGCTGGCCGCCCTCTTAGCTTGGGGGTATCCAACCCTGGCAGCATACTGGGGTCACCTGGGGAGCCTCTAAAAATGACAAGGGCTCAGCCTCCACGCCCACAATCCTCGTGTGGTTTTCCAGGGTTGGAGTTCAAACCACAGTTCTTTCTAGAGCCTTCCTAGGCAACTTGGATATCCAGTCAGGGCTGAGAAATACTCTATTTATTCTATAGCAGAGGTTAGTACTTTTTTTTTCCTCAAAATGGTTAATAGTAAATATCTGAGGCTTTGTGGGCCAAACAGTACATACTATAACCACCCAACTCTATCTCTGTAGCTCAGAAGCAGCCATGGCCAAGTCATAAATAATTAGTGTGACTGTGTTTCAATAAAACTTTATTTACACAATCAGGCACAGGCTGGGCTGACTCCAGGGTCGTTGTGTGCCAGGTCCCTCTTGTACAGGGAGATTTCATTCTTTGAATGCGGCATTTAATCCCCTTGCACTTCAGGTATAAGTTGGGGACATCTCTTAGGTTTGCCACCCTGTCTATTCACACCACATCCGGTGAAATGACCCTGACCGTCTTTCTGGAAACCTCCCTCCTCCTCGCCTCAGCTTGTGTGGTTTGTGGGGCTGACCCCTGCCTTAGGGTGCATTTCCCCAGAAGCAAACCTCGAGACAAGGATTCCCATGCAAGTGGTGCCCTTGGGAAGCGCAGGCCAGTTCAGTGAGGGTCAGGGAAGGGAGACAGGTGGGGATACAGTTCAGGGGTGCACAGCCTACAGGGGACAACTGTGGTGACAGAAGCTTCAGTTCCCTGGCGATCCAAGAGCCAATGTAGACACATGCTTCAGGGTGAACCTGCAGGAGGGGCGAGGGGGTTGGGGTGTCTATCTGCTGACTGCAGTGAGTCCCTGGTTGAGAGCATATCTCAGATGGGGTGATGTTAACTGCTTGGGGCTCTGTCCCACCGGGCAGGGGGAAAGGAAGGTGTTTGAAGCAAGAACAATGTTCAGGTACAAATGCGCTGATGCTTAGGGCGGGGGCTTGGCAGGTGGGAGCACGGAAGGCCTGATGGCATCTGCTCTGATCCCTCCTGCGCTCCAGGGGTACAACTCCCCGGCCACGACCATTGCTTTGGGGAGGTCATGTGACCAACCAAAGCCAGATGTGGCCATGAGACCTCAGCCGAGGTCTCTGGAACAGAGACAGGTGCTCTTCCCAGGCCTGAAACTCCAACCATCTGGCAGGAGCAGCGGCTGCCATGTTGCTGCAGGGGAAGACAGGAGACAGAGTGAAATGGGACCCTGGTGGCAGAATCTGAGTCTTGATCAGGCCTGCATGAAGTCAGGCTGGATCCTGGACTTTGAGTTACATGAGCTGGTACATTCCCTTTGTGCTCAAGCCAATTTGGGTTGGGTGTTCTGTCACTGGGTTTTTGATGGATATAGTTCTTAACTTGGCCATAAAGAAGACTGCTTATTCCAACATCGAACAGATGTTAATTTTGGAATATCCACACCAGGCTGTCTGTGGGGAGAATTCTGGCAAAGACGGTGGTAGCCACACATGAAATTCTCCTCATGTGCCTCTGATACTCCGTCCTCTTAAAATTTGTTTTTTTCTTTGAGACAGGGTCTTACTCTGCTGCCCAGTCTGGAGTGCAGTGGTACAATCATAGTTCACTACAGTCTCCAACTCCTGGAATCAAGCAATTCTCCTGCCTCAGCCTCATGAGCAACTGGGACTACAGGTGTACACCACCATGTCTGGATAATTTTAATTTTGTGTGTGTGTTTCGGGGGGGGATTGGGATTTTTCTATGTTGCCCAGGCTGGTCTCAAACTCCTGGCCTCATGCAGAACTACCACCTTGGCCTCCCAAATCCTCTGTATTTTCCAGCAGACTCTTCACATTTGTCCCTAGCACTGCCATGGCCCTAGGGAACGACTTGGGCCATGCAGACTGTGGGTGAGTGGCCAAGGGACAGATGTCCAGCCCCAACTTCTCCCTGATCTTTCCTTCTCATCTCCAGCCCCACAGCATCTAGCTGGACATGCATCACTTGGGCCTGGACACATCACATTTACTTTAACACTGAGGTTATATTTGTGTCAACAATGGGGTTTGCCTAACTCCACAGTGAGGCAGAGACAGTAGTATTCACCCAACTACCCTCTGCCCCAGGTTTCTCAGCCCCCTTGCAATTTGAGGGGCCCCTGGGAGCCTTCTGGTTCAGAGCACGTGCATGGCGGTGTCACATGCCACATCTAGGTCATCGCTTGGAAGTGCTCGCATGGGACTCTCCAACTGTATCCATCACAGGGACCCAGAAGAACCAAGTGTCCCTGATGTTACAGCTATAAGGCGATCGTGCTTCCTCAGTTGGGGCCCTGGGGGACCATGTGGAGTCGAGCCCTATCATTTAAGCCATGCAGCGGAAGTGTCAGGCACTTGAGTTGTTGGGCTTGTCTGTGGCCAAGGCATAGCCGAGCTCATTGTAACTAGCACATTCTGTGATCTAAAGACTCCTTGTCAAAAGGGATGGAAGAAAGAACTGGAGCGGACTTGATGAAATAAAGGCAAGCAGAGGACAATATATTCTGTGTGGGACTATGGCAAACACCACGAGGATGTGGAAAGTGACTCAGCTTGAGAACAGCCAAGGTAATGAAAGGCGGTGACTCTCAAGGTGAAGGAGACAGGGACCTTTGAAAGCAAACATCCCACAAAGCGATCACAGCAAACATCCTGGGACAGACAGGGAGGAGACAGGATGCCATCAGACCATGCAACACGAGCACATCCATGATAACTCAGTCCTACCATGGCCAAGGGCACGATGCCCACCAGGTCCTTCTGGCTGACGAAGATCTCAGACACGGCGATGTCTGTGGTCCCTTTCCGCGGGTACTCGACCTGCCACGTGATAGGCTGGGTCCCCGAGAGGCTACTGAAGCTGGCAATTTCGAAGTTCATCTGCACAACCTCGTTGAATAAACTGCTGCTTCTGGAAGACAGCAAAAGAAAACGACTTTATTTTATTTTATTTTGAGACAAGGTCTCATTCTGTCACCCGGGCTGGAGTGCAGTGGTGCGATCATAGCCTCACTGCAACCTTGAGCTCCTGGTCTCAAGTGATTCTTCTGCCTTAGCCTCCAGGGTAGTTGGGACTACAGGAATAAGCCACCATACCTTGTTATTTTTAAAATTTTTACTTTGTAGAAATATATGTTGCCCAGGCTGGTCTTGAACTCCTGGCCTCAAACAATCCTCCTACCCCAGCCTCCCCAAGTGCTGTGTGAGCCACCATGTCTGGTGAAAAATGACTTTAAACTCATTTTGCTCAAATGACTCTTCTCTCTCTCATGATTATACCCAGAATATTAGGACAAAGAAAATGCCTTTTAGGGATAACTCTGGGGTTTTGTGGGGCACTTGGAACAGGGAATCACCTATAAACTAGAGACCGGCAGCTGAGACACAGAAACATCCACACGTCAAGGATCTGGGCAGAGTCTTAAACATGAGCATCGATCGAGGTCTAGGTTTTTATGGCTTTTCAGAGGTAAGCCAGCTTGATGTGCTCAGATGGCCTTTGAACCAGAAGGCCCCCTCCATGTCCCCTTTTGCAGGTGTGGCAGATGCTGTGGCCGCTCACTCAGTGGCATCTCCAGCCCCCCTCAGCTCATCCTTTGCTGCTGTAAGGGCTAAGGCGTGAAAATGGCACTTGGGCTCTCTGGCCGTGAGATGCAGGGTTGAAGCTAGACCCACTCCTGTGGCAGGTGGAGGGGAAGCTGGGTATGGAGCAGCAGTTGGGAAGAGAACTGGGACATTCTGGAAAGCCTGGTGGTCTTGGTTCTCCCAGGGCAGCCATGGGGTGCTTCTGGGTCCAGGCCCCCAAGTCACCAAGCCAAGTGGCTGGCAGCGGCACTTCCATGACTGGTTTTCTGCAGAGGTTGGATGTTTTCTCATCTGTGCTGTCCCTGGCTGTCCTGTCCCTCACTGTGTAGCAAATACATTCAATTCAATGGCTTTTCTAGAGATTCTCTGAATTGTCTAGTATCCCTTAAAGAGACTCTTCTGCTCAGAGGGACTGCTTAGCTGGAGGGACCTTGTCTGCACCTAAGAATTCTGACCAATACCATAGATTCGAGGTGAGCCTAGGTATTCTGGGAACTACTGACAGTCCAAACTTCTCTCTCTCTCTCTTTCAACATGCCAAATTTCTCTTTCCTTCTTTCTTTTTCTCTTTCCCTCTTTCTTTCCTTCTTCTTCCTCCCTCCCTCCTTCCTTCCTTCCTTCCCACTGGCTCTCTCTCTCTCTTTCTTTTTTTTTTTTTTTTTTGCTCAGGCTGGAGTGCAATGGTGCAATCATGGCTCACTGCAGTCTCAGCCTCCCGAGTAGCTGGGACTATAGGTGTGACTTACCAGACTCGGCTTTTGTTTTTCGCTTTTTTTTTAAGAGATGAGGTCTCGCTATGTTGCTCAGGTTGCTCTCAAACTCTGGCCTCCAGCAGTACCCACCTGCCTCAGCCTCCCAAAGTGCTAGGATGAAAGATCTCAGCCCACACTTGGCCCCAACTTTTCACATTTTAGATAACAAAAGTAAGGTCCAGAAAGAAAAAATGGCTTTCCCACAGTCACATAGCTTGTCAGTACAGAGTCAACATCAAGTGTGGCCTCTCCTGTTTCCTAGTCCAGGGCTCTTTACAGATCCCAGCCTACGACAGCTGGTGGGCAGATATGAAATCACAAGTTGCCAACACAGTATTTCTTTTCTTTTTTTTTAACTGCTAATTTTTTTATTTTAAAGATGTGGGGTACAATTCAGCGTTAGGTATACAAATGTTCGTTATGCACGTACCCTTGTTGATGAGACGTGCCTCCTCCCCCGGCAGATTCTCACTACTGCCAATCCTGCTCTCCCCCTTCCCAGCAGTTTCCCTCTACTGCCAATCCTTTTCTTACAGTATTACAATAAGTTTTCAAGGTCCACTTATGAGTGAGAACATGTGATACTCAGTTTTTTGTTTCTGCTATAAATCACTCAGTATTATAGACTAAGTCCATCCAGGTTGCTGTGAAGTTCATGATTATGCTCTTCTTTATGGCTGCATAATATTCCACCATGTATATGTACCACATTTTTTTATCCAGTCTTCTTTTGATGGGCAGCACGGTTGGTTCCATGTTCTTGCTATTGTGAACAATGCTGCAATAAACATACATGTGCAGGTATCTTTTTCGTAGAGTGATTCGAGTTCCTCCTGGTATATTCTCAGTAGGGGAATTGTGGGTCCATATGGAAGGTCCAATTTTTAGATCTCTTAGGAATCACCACATTGTTTTCCACAGAAGTTGAATTAGTTTACACTCCCACCAACAGTGTAGAAGTGTTCCCTTTTCCCCACATCATCTCCAGCATCTGTTGTTTTCTGAGTTATTGATGATGGCCATCCTGACTGGTGTTAGGTGGCATCTCAGTGTGGTTTTAATTTACATTTCTTTGATGATTAGTGAGGCTGAGCATTTTTTCCAGTCTTTTTTTTAAAAGAACAAGGGACAGCAAACTGTCCCATGAACCAAATCCAGCTAGCTGCCTATTTGTGTAAATGACCTTCTGTTGGTGCACAGTTCTGCTGTTTGTTTACATTTTTCTGTGGTTGCTTTCGTGTTATAATAACACGATTGAGCAATTACATCAGGTGGTGGATAGCCTGAGAAACCTTACATATTTTTTATCCATATCGTTACAGAAATAGCTTGCTGGCACTGGCTTGAGGAGGTCAGAGAAGGCGGAGCTGACCAGGCTTTCCAGGGCTATTGAGTCAATGGAACTGATACTGGTGGGAATGAGCAGAGAGGGCCTTCCAGGCGGAAAGCAGAGTGCATAGGGTGGGCTGGGGTCTGGTGAGCCCCAATAGGCAACCTGGGGTGCCTTCATGTATGCCAAGGGTTGCTGTAAGCACTGGGTCAAGCACTGTCTCAGGCTGGTGTTCCCTGGATGGGCTACATGTTTGAGGTGAATTGAAGCGGTTCTCCACAGCACATCCAGAACATGCTCAACACCAAATATACTTAACAGCTGCATCCCAAGCATGTGCTGGGACCCACATAAAGAGTGGCCAGGAAACCCTTCTCTGCACTGAGGTGTTCATGATGTTTGGATGCAGCCATTCCATCCTTCAGGGTTGGCTCCGGGACACATGAATCTTCCTCGTGCCAGGAGTGGGGCCCAGAGAACCATGGTTTATGAGATGCTGGAGATTCATCTGGAAGGGAAAGTAAATCTAGCTCTCGACCATCAGGCCATGGGCTGCAAATCTCAAGGATGGATTCCTTGTCTTGAAACATGAGGGAGAGGTGTCGGGGTAGTGGAGTGTTTCCAGACTTACGACGCATTCTTAGTCCAGCAGCCAAGGCCCACAGACCCACTGCACATCGGGAAAATCCCTCCAATGTGCTCTGACCCTGGCACTCTCTTCTCACGGGGCCACAGGCGTCTCTTCATTTCCAGGGGTTTATCCTTGTCCTTAGCAAGAACACCTGGACCTGACATCTTATCTGCAACAGAGCTGAGCACCACTATTAAAGTTGTCCAGAAGCACCAGTCCACCAGCCGACTGACTCAACAAACAGGTCACTTTTCTTTGCACTGGGTGTGGCAGCGATCCAACTGTCCGGAGACTCCCTCTCAACCCTGATGGGATGTGAGCCCCAGCACATGCTTCAGAGGCTGCATGGATTTCCGCCTGCACCTGATCTCATTCTCTTCTAAGATCCTTTTGTGAGTAGTGGCATTATCTAGAAGATGGAGATAATGGCATTCCCACTGTAGAGGGAGGGAGGTGCCTATGGAAGAGCCAGCGCGACTTCTGCTCCAGCCGTGTCCTCTTCCACTGCCAGAGAAGGGTGTTAGGAAGGCATCCTATGGGGTGAGAGAAAAGGGAAGCGGAGTTTTTCTTTCTGGCTTGAAAGACATTGCTCTGTGGATTGTGTGAGCAGTGGGGCTACTTCCCTAAGGTGTTTTGTTCAAGCCAACCTAAGAGTAAAAGTAATATGCTATTGTTTGCAAAATACTCACTGCACATGAGGCACTGGGCCAGGTTCCATGGGTCTAGGCGTCCAACTCCCATTCAAAACCCTCAGGGTTACTAGGGCTATCGTTTACCCAAGTGTCGAAGTGAAGACTCTTGTCGCTTTGCCCCCAGGGAGAGTGTGTGCATTGCCTCAACCTTCAGCCACAGGTGGGCAGGAACGAGTCCTTGGAAGCCCATTGGAAGTGTCCTGCCATCTCTGCCCAGACCTCCCATACATGAGCCAGTGAGACATCATCTTGGTTTCAGAACAGAAAAAAAAAAATACAGATTTCACAACTGGAGAAAAATTCCAGCTTTCCAGGGGCTGTGCTTCCTTCCTTTCTTCTCTTTTCTCTACCTCATTTCATTTCTTCCTTCATTTTCTCTTTTCTTTTTCATTCTTTGAATAAAATGCTTCTTGGAGGTCTAATATTTATGACACAGCAGATGGGAGGTGCTCTTGTTCCAACAGAAATGAGTTGGGGTGAGGGTGGGGTTGGGAGCTGGCTCCAGCCCAGTGTCCACCACCATTGGGGCAATCTCCCCAGTGTGTCAGTGACATGTGCCTGGGTAGGTCACTGGTATCCATTTTTCCGGGAGCTGGAGATCTCAGATGAAGAGAAGAAAAGACAGTTCTGTGTCCACAGGGGTCCAAGGATGTATAGGGCAGAGAACAGGCCAGACAAGGCTGACCCCATGACGAAATGAGTCCCAGAGCCTCTGGATTAAACACACTGACCCAAGACACGGAGTTCTTTGGGGGAATACATGGAATTGATGTCCACATTAGTTTATTTTGTGCATTCCTGTTCCCGCCTGCCCCACCTCCTTCCTCACCCAATCCTCTTCACCTCCAGAACCCATACAGTGTGGTATATCTAAATGAGGGAAAATGCTGCTGCATTTTGAAACTT